GCGCACCGACCCGTGCGCACGCGCGCGCGCGCGCGCGCGCGCACACGCTCCCCCTGCATGGGCACCCCGGGGGGTGCTGCCCTTGGCTCTCCTCCTCCTCCTCCTCCTCCTCCTCCTGCTCCCCCCCAAATTGCAGGAGGCTCCCGGTGGCCCCTGGCTCCTCTGTCAGCCCCAGCCCCGAGGGATGCGAGTGCCGGAGGGCTGGAGAGCGGGAAGCTGAGGCGGAGGTGGGCACAGCACCACGGGAACCACCGGGCGGGAAGGCCGGCGTGGAGCGTCGGCCTGCGATTTGCCATTTGGGAGGAGGGGTTTCGCGCCAAAGAGTTCTTCCACGCGCTGCCTTGGGCGAGCTGGTCCTTTCCAAATGTTGTGCCCGCTTGGAGACCTGCAAGAGCGTCTTGTCTATGCTCTTCGGATTGAACTGGAAGAACGTCAATATGGCGTGTGGGAATAAATCCGCAGAGGGCCCTCCGTGTCCTTCTGAAGGACAAAGCCTCGGCTACCCTGTTTTGTCAGGTAAAACCCGTTGTGCAGCGCGCTCGTTTCCTTTCGGGACCGAGTAGATGCGTAGGCGGCACGCTGCCCGGCAGGGACCTCAGTACAAAATATAATCCACTGGTTGCGGGTAAACCTTCCCAGCTACTTCCCTCTGCAAAACAGAGTACGGAGTATTTTAATGGCCCTTTGTGGTCAGTCTCTTGTGGTGGCTGCTGCAACGCATCAGTGGTATCTTCACTGGTTTTGTCTTCACCCCTTCATAAAATGCCCGGCAGCTTCTTAAGCTGCCTGTACATCATCAAGTAGAGTGGCCCCAAAGGAGTGGATCTGCAAAGAAGAACATTTGGAGCTGAGGACCCTCCATCCACAGCAGGCACATTTCAGGGGTCTTATTGCAGACTAGGGCCAGTCTCGCCCTGCAGCCCGAGTGCCCTTAGCTGTCAAGCTGCAGCAGAGATTCTCCTGGACAGCACCCAATGAAGCTTATTACCAGTTAAGCTGAGTATTTCTCCTTCTTCCCATTGTGGGCATGGGGAACAATCACTACCAGAGCCCCTCTGACACTGAAATTGTGCTGTGCTGTCCTCGTCCTCCCTTCCCTAGGCTAAATGTATGTTTCTTTGTAGATCACGGATTCAAATCCACGTAGTGGTAGGACAAGGGGTAACAGTTTTAAACTAGAAGAGGGTAGATTCAGGCTAGATATAAGGAAGAAATTTTTGACAATGAGGGCAGTGAAACACTGGCACAGGCTGCCCAGAGAGGTGGTAGATGCCCCATCCCTGGAAGCGTTCAAAGTCAGGTTGGATGGGGCTCTGAGCAACCCGATCTAGTTGAAGATGTCCCTGATCATTGCAGGGGGGTTGGACTACATGAGCTTTAAAGGTCTCTTCCACCCCAAACTATTCTATGATTCTGTGAAATAGCCTCTTCTTGATCTGTCCTGGATCCTCACCAGTTCATGCATCTTCTCTGGAGTGTGTGCCACAGGCTGTATGCAGAGCACATCTTCTTCCTAGTGTGGCACTCCTGCTCAGAGACCCCAGAACAACTTTCTTGGGTTTGTAGCAAGAACACTCACTCCAATTTCTGAAGTGCTGTTGCTCAGCAGTGTTAGTCCTCGTACTGTATATGTCCACTGGTTTTTCTTTTCTATGTATAATTTTTTATAAGATTCTTTACTGGACTTCAGGTTATCTGGTGAGTGACAAAGGGCAAAACTAGGGGCAATGAGCACAAATTACAGCCCAGGGTGATCCGGTTGGAGGTGGGCAATCCTTCTTCCCCCAGAGTGGGGAGCAGCTCTGGGACAGGTCCCCAGGGATTTTGGGGGGGGGTCTCCATCCTGGGGGAGGGTTCAGGTCCTGGTGGGGCCAAGCCATGGCCACCCTGACCTTGTATTGCTGATAGTCCTGCTTCAGTTAGACTAGAGATATTCAGAGGCTCCTTCCAACCAACACATCTTTTATTGTATAATTTCCGGCCAATTCTTCAGTCTACAAGGAATATTTTGAGTTCTAATCCCATTTTCTAGAACATTTTCATTTCCTCCCATCCTGGTGTTATCCACAAACCATACAAACATAATCTCTGTTCATTTATCCAAATTAATGACAATTATTAGTTATACTGGGACTATGGCAGATCTGTGAGATACAGTTGAAAAATCTTGCCAGTTCAATGATGAAAGCCAACTCTTGAGTTTCCTCTTTTAAACTGATTGCACTCCCACAGAACTGTGATTTGATTTAGACCATTTTGTTTCTGAATTTGCTGCAGGGAGTTCAAAGTGGTGCACTGAGAGCTTATGATGTATAAGAGTCTTCGCTATAGACAGGTAAGCTCCTTCTAATGGCCACGGTCGTGGTATCCCCTTTCACTTACATGTTCTGTTCCCATTCATGCTTGCTTGCATTAGTCTGGTGTCATTCCTTTGAATTGATTGTCCTCTCTTCACAAATCGGGCATGCAAGTAGCAAGTCAGCAGGACCTCCACTTAGAACAACAGTATTTTCTATTCTAAACTCTATTTTACAAATACTTTCTAAATGGAATAAAGTATTAGAGGCTTTCCATTTATCCAGTGTTTTTGTTAGAGTCCATAATCTGACATAGAAAAGCAACAATAATGGCTGCGTGACCAGTTACTATCCGAAACCTATAAAACTGAAGTCTTCATGCTGGTTGTAAATTGTCTAGCCATGATGGAAAGCAAGGTGCTAAGCCCTTCTGCCACCCAGACCTAACATTGCAAGCTGAATGGTGAGCAGTTAACTTTACATCCCTTGGGAGCTTGGGCAATTCTTGTTCTATGGCAAGAAGAGTACCAGAGACATAGAAAAAAGCTTCTTTCTTCCTTAAGCAAGAAAAATCAAATTGTTCAGAAAGTGGCATGCTTTTTACTGGAATAATTACACTGCAGGTAAGGAGATATGATGCTGACAAATCACCTCATGGCAAGTCCTCATGGTGTTGAGCTAAAGCAACCCTCCAGATGTGTCTTATTTTCAAGAACTTGCTTCCAAACACTTTCATGCTGATAAGAAGCTGAAGGAAAGGCTAGTGCTTGCATGAAGTGTAACCACAAACCACACAGCGTCTTTTAATAGAACTTCTTTCTAGAAGAAAATCTTTCCAGGTTTCGGGTTTTTTTCTCAATTCCCAAAGAATAGCACTTGCTCTCGCACGACATCTATTTTATTGCATTGCAGCAATGGCTCTTCTTTGTAAACCCCTGGTTTTCCATCCCTTTAGATCGGTCTGCCGCTCTACAGCGTGAAGGACATGAAAGTGCCAATGGCCATCTGGAGTGGTGGAGTGGACTGCCTGGCTGATCCCTGGGACATTGCCCTCCTGCTCGCCGAGGTCCACTACAAGGTGATTCCCCAGTGGAACCACCTGGATTTCCTACCAGGGCTCGATGCAGCCGAGGTTTTGTACCAAGAAATCGTCAACATGATGAAGAAGCATCTGTAAAGCTGCTGTTTTGATTTGATACGGTTTTTTTATTTTGATATGGTGGTTTTTTTAATGTTATGTAAGATTAATGCTATCTTTAAAGGATTTTGAAATTTGTCATCTGAATGTAGTTGATTAAAATATTCTGCTTTTAACTAGAGCATAGGTGGGGTGGGGAGAGGAGTCTTTATGGTGTTCCTGACTGGCACTTCATTTCCTTTCTTTTTCCTTTTTATCTCCTTTTTTTTAAATCTTTTTTTTCTGGTTTGTTTGGTTCCCCCCCCCTCTTTTTTCTTATATCAGCTATGTATATTTGCAAAGTACAGGAAACATAGATGAGGAAACTGGGGTTTCAGACATTTCGTTTAGACTAATGTCATAGTGATCTGTTCTCTGAGACACAATGGATCCTGTGTAACCTTTCCCATGTGGTCAGCTTTAAAGTGCCTGCAATTCCTCTGAGACGTGGGGGTCTGGATCCCCTTGTCACTCAGTTGATTCCTAGCTTCAT